CCCCCCCCCCCCCCCGAATTGAAATGGCTATTGGCCTGGTTTGGGGTATTCATTGTGCATGTTCTTTATTGGCACATCTTTGAGGTGGCTCAGCGTGGGCTCTGGATCTAGGAAAGAGGCTTTTATAGGCTGGTAAGCCCAACAAATGTTGCAGTGGGTCTTCTTAATTTGAAGGTGTCCACAGAAGGAGTCATGGGCAGTTGTAACCAATAAAAGCTGTGGCTTCTTTTTCTCCACTAATGTGTCCTAGTGTGCTTTTTAAGGAAGCAGCAGAGCAAGGTTTGCCCTTTGGATTTGCATGCACAGAGTAAATCAGCAGCCTCTGTTGGCCATCATGAATGTGAAATCTTCAGGAACTAACTGTAACATTCAAATTTTGTCTTAAAGGTTGTGACCTGTACTTACCTGGCAACAAACTGGTGTCCGGGGATCACTGTAAAATAATAGTGGATGAAGAATCTGGTCAAGTATCGCTGGAGGATACCAGGTCAGCATTGCTTGACTCCTTCCTGTTTAGTTCCATGGCTTTTAGACAGCCCTCTTTTGATTTCAAAACAATGCCTTTCTGGATTTTTTCCCCTCTTTTGTGTCTGCATTGCACACCTAAAACTTGTTTTATTGTTACTTTCTAGAACCATCAAATTTCATGTTTAATGGTATTAAGAATTTGTGGGAACAGGAGGGGATGACAGTTATATTGACTCATAGCTTACTATCAGATCTTTGGAGCCCCTGAAGTCAATATTGCATCCCCTCATTTTACCAATTTAACAATTCTTTCTATTTCCGCAGGTTTTTGTATGTCCGTAGCCCTTATAGGGAGAGGTGCTCCATGGGTTTTCAACACAAAATATTTTATAGTATTCAAAGAATCTCTTGAACATGTAAAAGCTTTCCTTTGTCTGGAGGTGGCAACATTATGTTACTAAATTGTTTGGCACAAGGCCACAATGTTTTCTTTTAGAAGTAACAGTGTAGGATTTGTGAGAACAGACCAATAACATTATTTTCCAGATTTAACTGCAATCAGAACGCTTTTCTGGCAGATTTCAGCCGTTGTTTGGTTTGACTTTCAGTGTTTTTCTCTGTGTGACATGAAAACCCATTATTTTCACTTTTTATTTATTCTTGTTTCAGTATGACTATTTACTTCTATCTGTGGTGGAACATTTTTGCTTTGAATCTTAGAATTTTTTTAAGTGCTACAATTTAGCTCAGGCCACTGTTTCCTTTTCATTATAATTGCAAACTAATCTGTGTTTCTGGCAGCAGAATGGGAAAGATTTGGCAGGATGTGTTAATAACAGAACAAGTGCAAAATACTGGCAAGCAAAAAATGTTCACCACTCTCAGACAGGGAAAAAGCCCAGTCCATGTTGGGATCAGGGATATTGTGAGGATAGTGGTAGGCATATACACATAAGGAACTGTGTGGAGGCAGGAGGCAGTCTTATATTTTTATGCAATTCTCTACATATGGAGTCAGGATCTTGGCCATGTCTCTTAATGTCATTAGGTCCCCAGTAAAAAGGGCAGGTGGAGATTTCCACCCCATAGTTCAACTCATGGGTAAGTGTTTAAACTCAGGGAATTACTCCTTTAACAGAACCTTTGGTACCAGAGGCAGAAATAATATGGCAGGAGTAGGGAATTAGTTTCTACAGACTTTTAATTCAAAACTACAGATAAGCTCATGTGAAATGAAATAACCAGGGACCTCATCACACAAGGGGGGAAAGCAGGAGGGAGTATCTTTTCCCCTTTGTGTTCTGTGGCATTCCATCTTGAAAGAAGATGGAGAATTTACTCACCCCCACCACACAGGATACATTTCTGCCCATTTCTAGTTCAGCCGTGTGCTTCATTCCTCATCACACAGTTGGCTATTGTCTTCTCCCATTCTGTTGTCTGTGCAGGACCAAAGTCATAGGCTTTTATTTTTTAATAATTCCACAATTGCAAAACAGTAAATGATCAATAAAGGCAGAATGTCAAAAGTTTGGAATTGCGCAATTACAGCAACAAGTATTTTTTGTAAAAAAAAGATATAATTATTGATCATACTCACAATGGTCCTTTCTGTGTCCGAAGAGTAATGGAGGCATGAAAAGACCACCCACATGCACACCTGCACTGACATTTCCCACAGAAAAATATCCATTTGTAAGTGCAAGGAGATGAATGGAATCAATTCCAGCTCGCTTTTTGAACCCACCCATTTTTAAGACACTGTGGAGACTGTGCAATCCATGGAATAGGTTGTGCATTGTTTGATGACATTGGCAACCCATGGAATAGGTTGTGCATTGTTTGATGACATTTGTCTTTGAAGCATGTAGAAATAGAGCCCACCTTTCATGTGTCAAGGTCTGACAAGCATCGCAAGAGTAAATTTTAAAAATGGAAGCCATCTAGAGACTACTTCAGAGCTTCTTCTAGAGATGTTTCTTTGCTCTCCCATTGTATCTCCATTTTGCTGTTCCATCTGAATTGTGCAGCCCATGATGTCATCTCCCAGTCATCTGTAAGGGGTGCTTTGATTGTGCTTTTCCTGCATGGCAGGGGGCTGGACTAGATGACCCATGTGGTCTCTTTCAACTCTATGATGCTATGATTCATCATTCCCTCTGCTGGCTAGGAATGCTGGGACTTGCAGTCTAGCATGATCTGGAGGGTCATGTGATTCTCAGCCATGGTCTAGGTCTGTGATGGTGAACCTATGACACGCGTGTCAGCACTGACACACATGGCTATTTTTGATGACACGTGGCCACATGCGGCCGTATACAGAGAAGTACACCTTATAAGAGCCAATCTAATTCCATCCTTAAATTTGTAAAAGGCTCTACAAATTTAACATCTGCACGTTTGAGCATTGTTCACTCCATAAGTCAGCATGGAATATACATTTTTTCTTATTTAAACTATATATATTGCAAAATTATGTGTTTTTTTCTCTCAAAGTTGACACCCCACCCAAGTTATGCTCAGGTTTTTGGCAAATTTTGACACACCAAGCTCAAAAGGTTGCCCATCACTGGTCTAGGTGCTGTTCTCCTCCTCCTCTGTGTTTGAAGGATCTTTGTAAAGTAGATACACAGAATTACCCAGCAGTTTGAATACTTCTGTTTGAGAAGGAAGGGGAAAGTATGAATTATTATGTTTTTACAACAGGGTTGGGCAGGCTTCAGTTCTACCAAGTTCTACCAAGCAGGGTTAAAAAGGTGGTTAAACAGGCAATAATAGGCTATAGATACTAGCACACGTTAAGCCAATCTCACTGGAACGCTGGCAAATTTACTCGCATCTTATGGGCCGCTATGGTACAGTTTAAATCATTGTTAGGCACTTTCTTATGTATTTTAGTCATTTAACTTTCCGTAACACATGTGTCTTTAGTGTAATTTTGGAAGGCAGAGGTGCATAATGACTGGGAACTTCAATTTGCAAAAACAAAGTGAACTACTTTGTGACTTAGTCTAAGGCTCTAAGGCAGGGATCCTCAAACTAAGGCCCGGGGGCCGGATACGGCCCTCCAAGGTCATTTACCCGGCCCCCGGGTAAAATCTAAGGTTAAATCTAAGTTTGAAACGACTTAAAAGCACACAACAACAACAACAACAACAATCCTATCTCATCAGCCAAAAGCGGGCCCGCACTTCCCATTGAAATACTAATAAGTTTATATTTGTTAAAATTGTTCTTCATTTTAATTATTGTATTGTTTTAAAGTGTTTTTGCACTACAAATAAGATATGTGCAGTGTGCATAGGAATTCATTCATGCTTTTTTCAAATTATAATCCAGCCCTCCAACAGTTTGAGGGACTGTGACCTGGCCCTCTGTTTAAAAAGTTTGTGGACCCCTGCTCTAAACCAAAAATTTCATTTTATCTGTAGCCTAAGCAAGCCTGGAAAATGAATGTTTCCCTCAATTTGTCCCATTTTCGAAGTCACAAAGTGAGTAGCACCAGATTTTCTTACAAAGCCACGTACCCTTCTCCAAAGCTCGGGGACAAATCTAATTTGCTTCTTGTTGTATAATAAAAAGCATGAAAAACATTGATACTCTCCTGTCCTATGTCACCATTATTGGTATTTTTCTGCTAAGAAATTCTGGGCATCTTGGGTGAGATTAGTCCAGTTGTTTGGGGTGAAGGCAGGAAGAAAGCAGAAGTATTGAACAAAAGGATTAGGGGACAAGTATTTGTGGCTGCACTCCTGAAAACATTAGGAGCTCATTAAACAGCTTATCCTTTTCCAGCGGTAATTGTTACTTGCTATTTGGGGTGCAGGGACATGTGAACTCCACGCCCAACTCCAGTTGTTGTATAAAATTAAGCAAATTATAGCAGCAACCTAGAATCTGTGTGGTGTCATAACACAACACAACCAAAAACAAAATTTGTGTTGATGTCTTGGTTTTTGGGCCTGTTCCTAGGGTTGTTTCAGGCACTGATTCAGACAATTGCATCAGCTCTAGGTTATGGTTATTATCATGGTTTTCTATGGGTAAGTAGGTGGCGACTGGTAGATGTTCTGTATCTCCAAAACTTGAGCTGATAGGGGAAACTGGTGCCATTTTTGGAATTAGCACGTCAAATATACCCTTTGAAATGTGAGGCACCAAAATGTGTGTTGGCCCGTGTATAATGTTCCTTTACACAGCTTTGTATTGATGCACTCAGCTGTGTTTTCAAAGGCACATATAGACTTCTATTCCATAAAATGCCAAATAGTTACGTGATGTTTAAAAATCATATATTATGTATTGGCTTTTTCCATATGCACTCTGATTCAGTACAAGGTACACAGAGTTGTGAAAAAAGAGTGTAGTGCATTGTCGAAGGCTTTCATGGCCGGAATGTTCTAGAGGCATTCTCTCCTGACGTTTCGTCTGCATCTATGGCAAGCTTTACCTCACTACCTCTGAGGATGCTTGCCATAGATGCAGGCGAAACGTCAAGAGAGAATGCCTCTAGAACATGGCCATATAGCCCGAAAAAACCTACAACAACCCAAAGAGTGTAGTGACACCTTAAAGATGAACTTGGTTTTATTTGGCATAACTTTTTGTGGACTGCAGTCCATGAATGTGCATGCCTACTAAAAATTATTAGTGCTGAAGATACCTTTAGGCTTTATTGTTTCTGCTTCAGCAGAAACATTACATGCCGTCATTCTTCCACATTTGTGGTTTGACTTTTAAAAATTTGGTTATTTATGGATTTGATTTTAAATGTTCTCTCTAGAATTAACTTCCATCAGTTGTGCTGGCAAACCTAGAGGATTTTTAGAACAATTATTTGAGTTTTTTTCCACTTTAAGGGGATGCTGTGCCCCTAACTCCAGTGAATGTGGCGTACATCTAGTTGACTTAGTTGTTCAGAGCAAGCTAGTCAGAACTGTTAAATGTGCATTTCTTGCTAAGATATTTTTACAGCTAATCTAATTCCATTTTTCCACCACTTAGGGACAGTTCATCTAGTTTTGATCCTATAGTTTTTGTTTTAGTTGGTCAAGTTGATTGTAGTACTCTAGTTTGTGTGAGACTACAGAATTTGCCCACCAGATGGCAGCAATTACATTGTGTATCTTCAGCATTCACTCTTTAGACATCAATTGTGTAATATGTACACATCTTTCAAGGTACTAAAGCAGCGGCTGTTTGGTATTTTCTTCCCCCTAAAAGTTAATATTAGTTGTTATGCCATTAACCGCTTCTAATTCTGTTGATAGGTTAATTATAATTTAAACTTTTGTATGATACGATTTTTAGCTATTTTAACATTTGTAGGTTGCTTTCTGTCCCAGACTGGGGAAAAGATGGGCTATGAATAAATGAAAGTAGTAGTGGTAGTAAGAAATGGCAGTTCTATCTGGAAAGGGTGGGCTGGGTTAATATTTTGTTCTTTAATGAGGCACCTCACAATTTAAACATTTCTGCAAATCTTGTTATAAACTCATTTCAGCAAAGCAGGAAAGAAGTTGGCCCAGGGTTACTCCCATGTGCCAGTGGATCTTTCACAGGGTTTATCATTTTGACCTCTAACATAATGATTGGTTTGTTAAATACATTGTTTTGTTGCTGTTTTTGTATGTTCAATGTATTTTTGACTTGTGGTGACATTAAGGTGAATATTTCATGGGATTGTCTTGGCAAAATTTGTTTGGAGGAGGGATTGCCTTTGCCTTCCTCTGAGGCTAAGAGAGTATGACTTGATTAAGGTCATCCAATGGGTTTCTGTGGCAGAATGAGGATTCAAACCCTGGTCTCCAGAGTCCTAGTCCAGCATCCAATCTACTGTGCCATGATATTTATCCATTTGATTAATTTTATTTTAAATTATAAAATAAAACTAAGTATAAAGTATGATACCATACTAATAAATATTGTAAAATACTGTAATCTGTTATTAACACCATGGAAAGGCAGTTTTCAACCTGCATTAAAACAGATTTTATCAGTTCCTTGCCTTGTTAACAACGAGTATGTCTTTTTCTTGCAGCTCTAATGGAACTGTTATTAATAAACAGAAATTGGTGAAGAAGCAGGTTTGCCCTTTGCAGACTGGAGATGTGATCTATGTTGTTTACAGGAAGAATGAGCCAGAAAACAGTAAGGAAATTTCTTTTTATTCAACTCTTAGCAGTGGCAGGGAAAGTGTGGGTTTCAAGCAAATTTGGACAGGCTGCTCTGCTTTGGACAGGCTGCTCTGCTTAAGAAGTGACTGAAAGAACATTCGGCCTTTCTTAAAATGTAGATATGATGGAGCACTTCTGTTTGTGCTAGACCTTGTCCTGGGTCAAAGTGCCTCATCTTAGACAGAGAAGGGAAAGAGCTGGGCCATATAGTGTGTGATCCCCTTATCCATGTGGAATACACTTGATCTTAGCCAAAATACCGAGAAACAAAGAAAATTTCAAGAGAGGTATTGAAATCTTCCAATATGCTTTTAGTTCAGGGGTGGATAATTTCTCAAGACCCATGGGCCACCTATGACCTTCAGTCAACCTCCAGGGTCTGATTGCTAAATTCAGGAAAATAATGTAGTCCCCAAAGGAGAAAATCAAATCTCCAGTGGTGGTGGGGGGGGGGTTGTCCTGTAAATATTTAGTTCTCTTTCTTTGACTGTTTTCAGTTAAAACACCTTCTCAGAGTTAGGATCAGACCGGCATGTAGAGGGCGAATGCCCCTTGAGGCTCAGTTTAGCATTTCAGGGACCCAACTTCAGGTCTGGATCCCATACCTGTATTTTAATGCACATTGAAATCCCCCTTTCCCTGATAAAAAAGCCTTAAAGTGAACAATTTGTGGGTCAGACTTGGAGTTCCACCAAGAGTGTCTAACTTATTTTCATTGAGTGCCACATTAGTTTTATGGTTGCCTTCAAAGGGCCGTTGAATCCATTGACGGAGAACCTGAGGAGACAGAGAGAAGACCAATATATTATTTTGTTTGCATTGTGTTCAGTGCTCTCTAGTTTTTATCCAATTTTGGTCTACAGGTGTTACTGAATGACAGATCTCATCACTTTTTTTAAAAAAAATAGTCTTTATTCAAGGTTTTTCCAATTTTTGTAACAAACAACTATACACACTTACGCATGAAACACTTAGACACTTGTACAAAAAACTAGCTTGGGGGGGGATGGGGGGAGGGGGAGAGAGAGGTAAGTTGAGGGGAGGGAAAGGGGAAAATCGGTGGGGAAGGGATGAAGGGAGGGGTGATCAGTGACATAGAAAAATCTGAGAAAGACATTCCTTCAGAATAATACATACATACATCAATCCAAGAACAACAGACGATAATCCGCAACAGTTGGGCTTCCCAAAGTGAGTTCAGCAGGATAATTTGATATAAACAGGCGTGGAAAATGAAAAAATACATATTTCTGTGTCAACTATGCAGCTTCCCTAGTCTCCTAGAGTGATGTTTTTCCTCTCCCTTAGATAACACCTGAACGGCTGCCAGTCGATCCTGTATTTCTTGCTGGTATCGTATGTCATAGTCGCTAGTGTATCCAAGTCCATTAAATCTCTAATCTTTAGAAGCCAAGTGTCAATTGTTGGTATCTCCTTGGTCTTCCACTTGCTAGCAAGGACTATTCTTGCAGCTGCAGAAAAATGAAACAATAACATATCCTTATTATGATCTAACTGGAAATCTAACAGGTGTAACAGAAAATATTCCGCTCTCAACTCCATTTTTATCTGCAAAATCCTCTGCACTTCCCTGTGTACCTCCCGCCAGAAGCACCTGACTCTTCTACACTGCCACCAGGTGTGGTAATGAGAGCCTAAATGGCACCCACACTTCCAACAGTCACTGTTGGCACCTTTATAGAATTTCGCCATCTTTTGAGGTGTCAGGTACCATCGATGGAAGACTTTTTGCCAATTTTCTGTTATATTAGCGGATTTTGCAAATTTTAGTTTTCCTTTCCATATGGACTCCCACTCGCTGAGAAGAATGGAGTGTCCGAAATCGGTTGCCCAGTTGATCATGTTCTCTTTAACAACTTCCGTTTCAGTCTCCCACTCTAGCAACTTCAGGTATAGAGCTCTTACCACTTTTTTGTCTTTTCCCATAATTGTGTCCCACAATGACTCTAGAGGGGAAAAGTCCTTTTTTTTATCTGCCCTATAGCAGTCTGCTATTTGCATATAATGGAGCCAGGATAGCTTCTCGTCCATCTCTCGCAAGGAGTCTAAAGAATTCAGTTTCCATTGGCCCTCTCTTCTTTCCAGAAGATCTTTGTAAGTGTGCCATCTTTCATGTGGTATTTCTCTTTTGTGTACTGCTTCGAGGGGGGGACAACCAGAGGGGGGTTTTACAGTATAGTTTCGCCTTATGTTTCTCCCAGACCTTCAGCAACGCGGCTCTTATGAAATGATTAGTAAAGTTTTTTTCTATTTTGGCCTTGTCGTGCCACATATACGCGTGCCATCCTCTTCTGATGTTGAAACCTTCGAGGTTTAGGAGTCTTTTCTTTTTTAGTGTTGACCATTCCTTGACCCAGGATAGGGCGCAGGCCTCGTAGTATAATTGAAGGCTAGGGAGGCCGAAGCCTCCTCTCTCCTGTGCGTCTATCATTATTTTGTATTTAACTCTTGCCTTCTTCCCGCACCAGATGAATTTCATTATGTCTTTTTTCCATTGGATGAAGAGATGATTGGTTCTGATCACCGGTATCGTCTGGAAAAGGAAGATCATTCTTGGGAGGAGATTCATCTTGATGAGGGCAATTCTGCCCAGGAGGCTTAGATTTAAATGCCTCCATCCTTCCAGCTTTTTCCGTATTTCATTCCATGTTTGCTCAAAGTTATTCTTTACCAGTTGGGAATTGTTCGGTGTGAGGTTGATCCCCAAATATCTTATCTTCTTGGTTATACTAATCTTTGAGATGTTCTCTAATCTGAGCCTCTTCTCTTTATCCATGTTTTTCGTTAGAATTTTCGTCTTCGTTCTGTTAACTTTGAACCCCGACACCTTCCCGTATTCTTCTATCTTTTCCATCCATTTTTGAATTGTTTCGGTTGGATTTTCTATTATGCACACTATGTCGTCGGCATAGGCTTTTATTTTAAATTCATCCTTCCTGATTCTGGTTCCTCTGAGTTCGCTGTCCCTCCTGATGCCTTCTAGAAGGATTTCCAGGGACATGATGAACAGCAGAGGGGACAGGGGGCAGCCCTGTCTGGTGCCTTTCTCCACTTTGATCTTCTCTGTTTGATGGCCGTTTATCCTTATCCTTGCATTCTGCTTTGAGTAGATCGTTTCTAGTGTATTTATAAACTGAAAACCCATGTCCTTCTCTCTTGCAAGTTGTGACATAAAGTCCCAGTTGATTCGATCAAAAGCTTTTTCTGCATCTAGAAACAGAAGTCCAAGTTCTTTTTGAGGGTTGGCCTCATAATATTCCAATATATTAATTACGGTCCTGATGTTTTCGTGCATCTGTCTTTTAGGGAGGAATCCCGTTTGGTCCTCATGGATTGTCTCATTGAGAAAGGTTTTTACTCTGTTGGCTATAATCCTCGTGAATATTTTATAATCGTTATTTAGGAGGGAGATTGGCCTGTAATTCCTCACGTTGTCTTCTTCTGTGTCCTCCTTATGAATTAGGGTAATCGTTGCCTCCTGCCAGGATTCAGGCATCTTTGCTTGTGAGAGGATGTTGTTATAGACTTCCTTCAGGTGTGGTGTTAACAATTCTTGAAATTTCTTATAGTATGCGGCCGTTATTCCGTCGGGCCCAGGGGCTTTATTGTTGGGGAGATCTCTAATGGCTTCGTTGATCTCTGATTCCTCAATGGGCTTGTTGAGATTAAGTCTTTGTTCATCCGATATCTTTTCTAGTTTAAGGGTCCCCAGATACTCAGATACCTCTTCTGTTGTGATGTCATCCTTCTTATACAGTTCGCTATAGAACTCCTTAAATTGGGTTCTAATCTCTTCCTCCGTGTGGCAACTTACCCCGTCCTTTGTTATCTTAGATATATGCTGTTGTTGCTTCCTTTTCTGGATCTTCCTTGCCAGTAGTTTTCCTGGTTTGTTGGCGAACATGTAATATCTTGCTTTGATGTATTTTAGGTTTTTGGCCATCAGCTCGAGTTGAGTCGAGTTTAGCTGTTTTCTTAGAAACTCTAACTCCAATTTTACTTTCTTGTTGTTTGGTTTCTTCTTTAGTAGAGTTTCTTTTTCTTCTATTTTTTTTGTAAGAGTGCTGTTTCCTCGTTCCTTTTTCTATTCCGAATCGCCCCCTGCTGTATAAATTGCCCGCGCATGTACGCTTTGCTGGTGTCCCACACCACCTCTAATTTGGTTCCCTGGTTTGCATTTAGTTCAAAAAATTCTTTGATAAGTTTTTTGTTATACTCCAGGGCTTTTTCTGCTTTTATCAGAAATTCATTTAACTTCCAAGTTCTCTGGTGGCTCCCCCCTTTGATTTCAATTACCAGGGGGCAGTGGTCCGTGATAGTTCTGGGCAGAATTTTGGTCCTGCTTATCTTGGTTGTCAGTTCATTAGTGACCCAGCACATATCTATCCTGGACCAGGTGGCGTGCCTATTACAGTAAAAAGTGTAATCTCTCCCATTAGGGTTTCTTTCTCTCCAAATATCCTGGAGAAAAAGTTCTCTCTTCATTTGAAAGAAGTTGCCCGGGAGTCTACCCCCGTTTAAATTTCCCCTGTTCCTTTTCGATTTATCCAGCCCACAATCAACCACACCGTTGAAATCACCAACAATAATTAGGTTCCTAAAAGTCTGTTCCCTCACTTTACTCCTCAGGGTCTTAATAAATTTTGTTTTAGGTCCTGTGGGGGCGTAGATGTTACATATGAGGGTGTCTTGGTCATTAATTTTTGTTTTGATTCCTATCATTCTGCCCTCCTCATCCTTAAATGCTAATGATGTCACCCCGGGGTCCCTGACGTAGATTACCACCCCTCTTTTCTTTTGTGGCGCTAAGGAGTGAAATTCTTTGCCCAGTTGCGGTTGTACTAGGTATTTACTGTGTTTCGCTACTATGTGAACTTCCTGCAAGGCGATAAAATCAAATTTATCTTTTTTCAGAGAGCTAAAAATTAAATCCCTTTTTTTGGGAGCATTCATACCGTTCACGTTATTGGAGTATATTTTCGTCTCCTTCATCTTTCTTGTCATGTGTGTTCGGTTCTGAAGGTCCCACTCCTTTTTCCGTGTCTTCCTCCTCCGTTGATTCTTGTCTTTGTCTTTTCTTTTCCTGTTTCCTCCAGGCTTTTCCTTTCAGCTTCTCATTACAGGGGTTTTCGCCTAGTTTGGCTGGTTGTTCGGTGTTCACTGAGGCTGATGGTAGCGCCAATTCTAGATCTCTTATAAATTTCTTGTGGAATTCCTTCGCCTTTTCCTCCGAGGTCAGCCAAAATTTGTTCTCTTTGTATGTTACTAGGATCCCTTCCAGCCGCTCCCATCTGAATTTGATTTTGTGTTTCTTCAGCTCGTCCGTTAGGAAGTAATATTTTTTCCTTTTGTTCATCGAAATTGCTGAGAACTCCTTGAGGATTATGACTTTTTGGCCGTGGTAAAAGGATTGTTCTTTGTGTTTCGTTTTTATCACCTTGTCTCGGACACTCTTCCTGCTAAGTTTGACCACAATGTCCCTGGGGGCATTGTTCCTCTTTGCAAAATTAGAGTTAATCCTATGAAGCGTGTCTATTTCTTTGTTCATTTCACTGGTAGAGATGTTCAATATTCCGGCCAAGATCTCACTAACAATCAGTCTCAAGTTTTCTCCTTCTTCTTCCTCAATATTCCTAAGTCTGAGTTGGGCATCCGTTTCCTTACTGGCCAACACTTCTTGTTGTTTCTCTAGCCTTTCGTTTACTTCCTCCATTTTCTTCAGTCTAGCCTCTGTTCTCCCTTGTGTCTTCTTTAAACTTATATTTTCTTTCTTAAGAGCTTTTATCTCTTCTTTGGTTTCATCCACCTCTTTTTTAATAGTCTCCATGTCGTCCTTCAGCTCTTGCCTTAACTTCCCCAGTTCTTTTTGAAAGAGTTTTTCGATGTTTTTCTGAGTTTTCTCTTGGTTGTCTTCTATCTTCTTTTCTATTTTTTCCTGTATTTTAAGCATTTCTGTCATAATGTCCTTGAGGGAAATCTCTTCCTGCGTGGAAAGCCTCCTAGCTGGAGTGGGTGTGACTGCCGTCAATATTGGTACTGTTGGTACTGTTGTTGTTATCATCACGTTTGGAGTCTTGGTCTGCTTCACATTCTGCTTGTCCGTCTTGTTGTCTACCATCCTGGTTCTCTGGTCCTTTTGGCTGCCCTCTGCCCTCTCCTTTTCTCCTCCGATGTCGGTAAGGGAAAGGATTATTTCCTTAATATAGTCTTATTGGATCTTTTCAGTGTCCTCCTTCTGTTTCTCTTAAGTTTCTTCACTACTCGTTCTCCTTCTACTTCACCTTCTTCTTACCAGTTCTTTATCACGCTCGGCTCAGCCTGTCGGCTCTCTTCTTTCTGAGCTCCCCTGCTATCTCTGCATTCCTCTTTATGCTTTCCTTCTGACCCTCATATCTTCCCCGCCCAGTCTGAATTCCCTCCACCTTTTCCACTCACCCCTGTGTGCCTCTTCTTGTCTTCTTGTCTTTCTTGGTCTTTCTTAATCTTAACCTTCCCCTCCAGCCGTAGGCCTCCATTTCCTGGCGCTGGCTTCGGCAGGGCTGCTGGGCTTCTTGTGCGCCCTCCTGCGCACGCGCGATCTCGCGGGGTTTGGCAAGACCTCTGCTCGCGCGGGGCGTTTCCGGCCGAGCGCTCCTGCGTCCGACGTCCCGGTCGGCCGTGCCGCACGTCTCCGCTCTTCGCTCCAGTCTTGGGAGCCGAGTTAAAGGTACCGCGACTTATTTTGCAGCGGCTGGGGTTAGGACGGGGAAGTTTAGAGGGCTAGGGTGGAGGGTGGAGGCGGGTGAGGGAAGGCTAGAGGGGAGAGGGGGTTTGTTGGCTGAGCATTCTGGGGGCATAGGCTGGCTTGGCAGATAAGCAGTTGGGCAGGTAGCTCTTTCTCGCTCCCCTCTACCTCACTGGTTAGGGCTTACCGTGCTTCACCAGCAGGATCGGCCTCGGTCGTTAGGCCTAAACATGTACACAACCGGCGTTCCTTTCTTCTTACTTTTGTGCTTTCCAGGGAGCTGCGCTGTTTTCCTGCTGCCACTTTTGTTCTCTTTAGTACTTTTGTTATTTTTCGTTTCTTCTTTGATTAAAATGGAGGCTGGCGAACTCTACGGTTCTTCCGAACCGTGCTTTCCCCCTGGGTGCTAGCCCTCGATTCCGCCAGGTGGGGTTTGCAGTCACTCTTGGGGAGAGACTGCTCATACCCACCCCCGCAGGTCCTCAAATGGGCTTCGCTAGCAGGCTGACCTCGAGTCCATCAGCCTGAGGGGTCTTGACTGCCCCTTTCCCCGTCTGGGGGATGCACAGGCCTCTCAGGCTCATGGAGCCTCAAAAACCTGCAGCCGCCGCCATTGCGCCTCCACCGGAAGTCCAGATCGGAGATCCCATCACTTTTGATGATCTGCCATGCAGACTGGGGTTAATGAGAATTGTAGTCCAACAGCCCTTGTGACTTTGAGGCTGGGGAAAGGTTAAAGGACATTTTAAAATCAGACATCCTATCCACAAGCCTTGTATACAAATCCGAGCCCCACTCTCCTGACAAAACGGGGGCCTTCCAAATGTGATTGTACCCCAACCCCCAACAGTTCTAGTCATGATGTCTAATGATGAGGAATTCAGGAGTTGCAGTCCAGTATCTGGAGGGCCACATAAAAGGGTATGGAGAGCTGGATTCCGCCCTTGGGCTTTGAATTTAACACATGTGCATTAGTGGTTCAGTGTAGTAGATTTGAGAAAGATTTATAATATGGGGAGCAGTTATGTGAGAAGGCCCATCCTGCCTCTAAGGGACTTAACTCATCTTATCTTCTTTCAGATGTTGCGTATCTTTATGAATCTTTATACCCTAGACAGGACCGAGCCAATGACCCAGTAGGTAAGTAAAATGGTTAATTCAGGAGCAGCAGAAGGTGGGGAGATGGTCCATTGGAATTACTTTCCTCCTTTCTCAGACTGCCTGTCTGGGCAGAGAGTCCTGAAAAGTTCTTCCTCTAATGTTTTGGAAATCACCTTTCCATTTATTCTCCGCACAGAACCCAATGTTGAAAGTATGTGCCATGTGACCAAAGATACCTCAAGGACCGGGCAAAGTGATGACAAGACCTCAGTTGCATTGTCTGTGCCAGCTAGTCAAGCTAATAATGATGATGAACCACAGCCATCCACTTCTACATCAAACCTCTTTAATGCTGCGTCTACCTCTCTCACTGAGTCCGTAGCCACTGTACTGGAGAATCCCTCAACATCTTGTAAAGGTCTGGCCTTCTTGGGTTGCTCTTTTCTTGATCTGGTCTTTTGTCAGCCCTAGAGGCTTTTTGCCTTGAGCATAGACAGCAAACATTGCTCTTGCTCCATACCTCATTTCAAGCTGAATAGTATCCAAAGTCACCCAGGGTTTTGTTTTGTTTGGGGGTTTTTTTTTTTTTGCTGTTGATGCCAAAAAAAAAAATCTCATGAGCATGTCTGCTTGGCAGCAAAAAGCAGTATCTATACATTATTTAGTAGTTTCCTCTAGTTCTGATATCATCAATTGAAATAACTGTGTGATCTGTTAAAAGGCACTGTTATGTCACAAATTCTGGTGCGTATATTTGGTGTTGGACTCGTTGTTCAATCTGTCGATGTTTCCTCTCAGTTCTATCAAGACTTAGGTCCAAGGACTCTTCTTCCTCATTGCTTAATATTTTCAAAGGAGCAGATAAGGACTTGTTTCCTATAACTATATCCAAGAATCCGTTAGCAGTTAGAATGACAAACATTGAAATCAAGTCGGAGATATTCACTGTTTCCACACCACCAAACAGTTTGTCAATCCTGAGCTGCATGTGGATCTTGCTTTGTCTGGCAGTCCCAAAGCTTGTTCTAGAGCATTTTTAATTCCCAATTTGTGGATTAGCACCAGTTGATACCAGGGAAGGAACACAGGTTCATAACAGTGTAATATTCCCCAATGTTTGAAGTTCTTCTGTTTCCAAACTATGATAGTTTACTTCTATCATAATTGGTGATAGGCCTGAATAGTGAAAACAAATGACCAGAGTTACCAATGAGGAAAAAGAGAAGGAAAATGCTGCGTAGCACTGGGGGAAATAATTGGCTAAAAAAACCCCTGATATTGGGCAGAATTGAGGAAAAAGGAAAGGAAAGGCAACAAAAATACTGGAGCTCAATTAATTGCCTCCTAAAATGCTGCCATCATATTTGTTCAAATTATTTATTTATTTATTTATTTCCTGTACTTCTACCCCGCCCTTCTCAACCCCCGAGGGAGGACTCAGGGCGGCTTACAAAAAGGCACAATTCGATGCCTACACAATAATACAAATAAACATGTAAATCAGCAATTAAAACAATTAAGACAGTTAAAACAATCAATATATATCACAGTCAATAAACCAATCTCAAGCTCAGCGTTCGCCAACTCAGAGTCCATATTTCGTTCTACATTATCTATTCCTATGCTCCCTGTATGACGCTCCGGTGACTAATCTGGCTGCCTCCCGCTGGACTAATTGAAGGTTCCGAACAGTCTTCAAACCCCACGTAGAGTGCGTTGCAGTAATCTAATCTCAGGATGTAACAAGAGTGTGGACCACTGTGGCCAGATCCAACTTCCTAAGGTACGGGCGCAGCTGGCGCACAAGTTTTAGTTGTGCAAAAGCTCTCCCGGCCACCGCCGAGACCTGGGG